TAGCAAATAGTTCGTCTTGACTTTCTCGTTTTTAATTACGATTTTAAATTATGATGTGATTCGAATGTGTTTGAATTATATTTAAATTAAAAAGTAAGTAATGATTTAAGCATTGAATACTATCATTTGAACAATGGACTATTGTATGAAAAAAATCAAATGTGTTTAATAATTAGCATAGTAATGAAAATGAAAATAAAGACAGGCAGACGATGGAGGTTACTCGACTGTGTAATGTAAAAGATTCTCGCATTTATTGTAGAGATGTTAAAAAAAAATACTTATTTAACACTAGCTGACCCGGCAGACTTCGTAGTGCCTCAATCGATAAATAAAAGACGAATCAAGGGGACACATCAAAGGAAAAACAAAATTGTTTGTTTTTATATAATTCCGAGTTTTTTTATATTTTCTCACCTTTTAAACCTACCCTGGACTTCCACGAATAATTCAAGACCAAAATTAGCCAAATCGGTCCAGCCGTTCTCGAGTTTTAGCGAGACTAAGGAACAGCAGTGCATTTTTATATATAGAGATATAGATAAATTAAACGACTAACGAATGAGTGTAAACGGATAATTTTGGATGGATCTAAAATTTTGTACTCAATTCCTGAGATGGTTCTGAACTATGGAATTATGAAATGATTCTGGTCATAACAATTGAAATATTTTTATGTTATTTGTAATATGGATGGCCGGTTGGAAAGTTATATGTTTTAGATAATGAAGATACATATTTTCTTTGCATGGAAATCAGAAACGATTAAAAAAATCAGAATCGCTTTTGATTTTTCAGAATTATCGTGTAACAAACATAATATCGAAATTACTTACATATATGTTTCTATTAAGTTTGGGTTAATTTCGATCGAAATAAAGTTACCAAAAATATTTCGAAGCCAAGCGAGTTGACTTAAAATTTGAGGAACCAATAATACTAATTTTTAAAAACATTTGCACGGTTTAATTATGAATATTAATTTGTACATAGTTACACCGATGTTTCTACTACCGTACTTATCGTATTCGCCGAAGGAAAAAAAACTTGGAGATTGAAAATAAACACAACATTCAACTGTAAAAATGTCAGCGATTATATAAAAATATAATTAAATTTAAACTGACCGTACAGCATTAAACAGGATACTGGCGTCAGCACGTGCACTTGTCCGCGAGTCGACAGGTGACCGGCACGTGTGGCGAGCTAGACTCTGCGGCACACATCCCTACTCCCGCGCACACGGTATCTCCGGTTGCACTGATGCGACTGCGTCATTCGCGAAACACCTGCCCTCTTGTTGTTAGGTCTCCTTCGGAGGCGCTCGGGCAGCTGTTAGCAAATCCCACCCCTCCTGGCTGAGCCTTTGCTCGCCCACCTGTCCTGGTAAAACCGGTGAGGCCTCCGGGCCACCAGTAATATCTCATTCATAAAAAAAAGATGCGACTGCGATTTACGATGCGAAATAATCTAATGTGAGTTCCAAACGCATCGTGTGTGGTTTTGTTGACATAATTCAATTATTTAAACATTTGCATAATCAAATCTGCAAGTCGATTTAAAAATCTGATGCAAGTTCTTCAAAATTGAAACTTACAAAAATCAACAAAAATATAGTCAACTTAACAAGTAAATATTATTTTCCGTTAACATTACTGTAAATTATACGTTACATTGCGGCCTAGGAAACGGAGACATTTTGTTTATATTTTTTTGTCAGTATGTTTATGGTTGACAAAATGAGTTTGTCGCATCAATACAAAAGTGCATTAAGGCAAAGTTAAATCAATTTGTTTATTTTGTTGATGCTGTTATGTTGTTATCATTTACAAGCGCGTGTTTACAAATTGCTCGCACTAGTAGCGAAACGTTTATTTTTTGTATAATAAAAATAAAGGGATCAATAAAAATTCTGAAACATAATTGATGCCTGTGTTTTATATGAACTTCGATTATATGTTGTTTGTATGTAGATCACTGATAAATAAAATAATTATAAAGGTAAGCATTAAGTCATTTGACTATCGTTTTCTTTTTTTACGTCTTCATTAAGCCAGTGGTTCTCAAATTTACTTAGTTTATATGAAATTGAATATTTTCGAAAACGGATTTTTTTATTCCTCTTGTAGGCAGACTAGTATACATCCTACCTGATGGTGAGTGGTTACCGTCCCACGCGGACTTCAGCAATGCAAGGGGCAGAGCCAAGCCGCTGCCTACCGTAAATGTAAAAATGGATGGAATGAAACCGAAAAATGTGATCTACTACTCTAATACTACTCTTTGCCCGAAACAGGTTTGTGGACAAAAATTGCAGTCTTTAATCTCTGTGCTATAAAATCACATGGCCTATCAATCGATAAATGCTCATATCTTGTCTCTCATTTGTTATTACAATTACATGCTTTTATTAGCTTGGTATGTATGTTGGTTTATGTGTAACAGAACTTTTGAATGTTATTTTCATTAACTTCATGAACCGGATGGATTAAGATGAAAATTGCACACGCATCAAGTACATACCGTTAATAATAATTTTGAAAACTTTGCTCTCTAACCAGTATCAACAGGATAAAAAAAAGATAAAATTAATTATTCGTTCGGTTTGTTATTTAAGAGTGTTTCTGAACTATCTAATTTATGTATATATATTATTCATTTAGTATTCATATATATATTTTTTAAATGACCAAATATACTGCTGGAAGTGGAACCATGGTAGCCTCTTTGATCGGGTAGGACGAGTTTATAAAATTTCTCACGTTTGATCTTTTGGGCGTTCGTCCAAGTCGCAGAAGCTCCGTGAAGTTGTAAAACAGTTAACATGTTTCGTGTGAAGCTCGATTTGTGATCGCGCATGTTAATACGCACAATGAGCGATGTCCCGAGCATCATAACCAGATCCAATGTTTTCGGTAGAATGTTTCATTCAGTAAAGAGGCAGTCAGTTTTTAACAAATATTTAGTAATCTTCTAAGCGGCAATATACTGTCTTTTTTTTTGGGTCCATATTTAATCTTATCCTAGACTTGCCTTATTCTGTTGTTCTTGAATTTTAATTGATTTTGTTTCGAATAATCACTGTTTGGCCATCCTTTCCCAATGGTTTATGGTCCAGCGGTATTGTGAACACCCAGAGTGTAACACTCAGGTCAACATTAGATTTTCATACTTTTTGAGTCTTATAGTTCTTACTACTTACTCGAAAGAAATACATAAAATCTTTGTGAGTCTGAGTGTCCTTGATATTTTTCCCTGTATGTTTCCGATATCTATAACACTGGATTTATTTGAGATATTGGTTATGGACCGATATTTATTTCGTATGTACGTTACAAACTTTATACTAGGTCTTCAAGTGCTTACCATTTTTGTAACACATTACTAGTGTGTTAATGAATATATCGAGATATAACCTTATTTGTTCATGAAACATACTAATCCCGAATAATACGAAGCGGATCTTAGCTAGCATTCTGCATAAGACCGTCTATTGTATTGTATGCACTCGCGATTCAGTTATCAGATTGGTTCGCAATGATTAATCGATTGAACAAGCACGATTTGAATAGCTGAATGCTAACACTCTAAAGAGGTTTAATGACTCCTTGAATAGCTGTGAAGTGAATAACATTAGCATTATGTAAGTAAATAATACGGATACGCTTTTATTAAAAACCTTTAGGCGCGTTCCCACACCGATGATGACCGGAAATATGTTAATCTTAAACTGAAATAAAATTTACATAGCAATTGACATGGCATAAACTTAAATAAAACTACAAACGCGATTTTAATCAAAACCTGTCGAGTAGTTCAGCGGCCCTCAACCATCGACACATCAGTGTGTTGCAAGTTGTCATGATTGCGTCGCGATATTTATATATAGTAAATTTTTATCTAAGGAGATCGCATCGTCTATCTATAGGGTAAATATGTAACGGTTTACTAAATGTTAATTGTCAATTACGTTTAATAGATTAATGAGTCGCTTAAATTTTTGCAAATTTTGCATGTGAGTGTGTTAGGGTATCGCGATTTCTGAGTTATTTAGTACGTCGTCGAATAAAAAAGGTTGAGAGTCACTGGACTAGTTTATGTTGAAAATCTATTAATAAAAGATAGCAGCCGATAAATCTAGAAGGTCGTATACAATCCTCGGCTGCTACTATAGACAAAAAAACTAAGGATCATTATAGTTCCGAACATTGAAACATTGTTCCCACGCCATTTTGTCATAATTATTGTCTGTCCTTTAAAAGATTTATATCTTTGACAAGCGACCTTCGAGTGCTTCCTTATTCGTTCGAACTGTAACTTAATACCTATGCCGCATTTTTTGGAAAATTAATTTCACATATTTTATCTAACTTTTTTATGTAAATATATTCAGAAGTTTATAATTCGATCTAAAATTCACGTGTGTACATACGTTGTAAATTCACTACAATGACGCAAGTCCAAAACAAAAACCATACAGTCCTTTATAATATAAAGGGTTGTGTTCAAATTAGGTGAGCGATAATTTCTTGTCTCATGTTGGTTAAAACAAATGGTTAAAAAAAATTTACACAGAAGTATAGTGTAATTAATTCTAGCACAAAACAGATGAGCTTAACACATGATCGATGGTATCCAGAATGTTGTTTTAGTTAAGTCCGAACAGATTACGCCTTTTTTATTGCTGTCGAAAGCTCTTAAACTTATCAATATGATAAGTTTTTACTCATGTGCGGAACGGTGATGGAAATGGCACAAGTTTATTTTAAGTCAAGTGTGACGTGTTTGCCATAAATGTGTGATATTATTAAAAACTAAGGGCTAGGAATCGAGTTGAATATGGCTCTGCAGGCTCTATATGAGACAAAAACAACCTGACATTGCTATTGAATTAAAATAATAGAATTTCCCACTAAATTAGCAGTCCCCACTTACCTTAACGATCGTAAAAACATCCACCTAGACCAAAACAACATTATAAAAAGAACTTATGTACTCACAGTGGTTGGTTCGACTCTAGCTGGGAGGGCGCGTGCTACCCCGGGCGACGCAGATCTTTCTCGTTCTCGCATCTCGCCGCCGAGCCCCCCGCGGGCTGCCCTGGCCGCTGCTTCCATACAACCACTAGATTTACTCCTGTTGGAGGGAAACCATTATAAAGCGACTTTTTTAGTCTGTGGTATTGAAGTTTGATTAGTTAATAAAAAGGGGGTTTAAAGGGAACTCATGGGAGCTTATGGGCTCCAGTAATCACGCAGCATCTGGCTATGAGCTCGTCGTATACAGAAGACCAAAGTCTCGTAATGTACCAGCTACGTAATTGGTTTTTTTTCCTACCTATGCTGATAGCCTTGAGAGGCTATTTCATCTTCTCCTTGACGTGTAGGTGAGCTCACGGGGTTCAAAGCGGGAGTGTTGCTAACACTGGCCCTAGCAAGAGCAGTGCTTCGCAGAGTCTACCACCAGATCGGAAACGCGACCCACTCAGAAGATCCGGAGAGAAACTCATTGGGCTGTCTCTATGGGTTAATTCGCTCGTCGAGCCCTTCGTCGTAAACGACGGGTTCGACGAGGACGGTAACGGTGCTTGTGGTGCCTAAAAGCAACGTTAATGGATCGGGCGGATCCGTAATGACGTGCTTAGGGCGACATCGACTGTTTACCATTCGGTCTACGGGATCGGGTATGCTAATTGTATGCGGTAACAGTATACCTTCGACATAGACGAAGTTAGGGCGTAGATAAATCGCTGCCTAGAGCTAGATGTGAATAGTTCTCACCTCACAGGTCTTGCAATAGGTCCAATCATAGATAGAGGCTGTTCGGCGGCTGGTGGTGGAGGTAGGTACATGACGTGACCGCCCCACGATAGGTATGAAGCACCAGGTCTCCAAGGTGATATATCGCCCTAATGAAAGGTATCAGTATAAAAATACATTTTGATCTCTAATTTATTTACGTCATTTGTCTCTGTCTCAATTCTCATGTTAACATATAACCGACACAATAAAATAAACCAACAAACATATGCATGCTCACATTACACCTGACCACCGGAACTCAAGATAGAAACAGAAAGGAAGTATAGAAGTAGGTAGATATGAGGCAAATTCGGGCCCGGTATTTAAAATATTTAATTTAATAGTGATCGTTTTAGATTATTTCTTCAGCAGTAACTGAGCTGTGTCTAAGCTCGATGCGTATACCTTTTCTGATGGTGGCGACGACTCCTCCTTGATGTCATCTTCTCCGGAACCTTTAGCTTTCATCGGTTGCTGATACAACAAAGGATTTGACAGTGAATTCGGTGCCGATTTCGTCAAGAACCAATTCTGTTCAGGTTCCTCTAGCATGGGTTCGTGCTCCAAATCGAATCTTCTCGAACCTAAAGCCGCTCCTAAGGCCCCTGTGACCGACTTCCTGAACTTTTGCAGACTATTGAACCCCTGCTGGATCTGTTTGCCCTGGAAGCATTCGTAGAAACACGACATCGCTTTAAACTAGGGGGATGTTAGTTAAGTTCTAGGCTTTGGACTGACGAGGAAAAAGGTTGACTACTTTCCTTTAAAATGAATAGTTGTACAGAGTCTGGCCAATAATACTGTTACATTTGAATTTAGAACTTGTATTGTTTTTGTATTTGTTAAATGTTATAATACAATAAAGTAATAATAGTGTAGGACAATAAAGAGCAACGATTGCTATGATTGAATTACACAAAAGAAATCCTTTATATATATAATTCTACTGTACGTGTGTGTTACTGGACTCCTAAACGGCTGGACCGATTTGAATGAATTTTTTTGTATCCGTTTGGGTGGCGCCCTGGATGGTTTAGATTCACAAATCAGCCCGGCAGATGGCACTGCAGTCGGTGTCTAAGTTATTTATCTATACTGCAACTAATGGATTGGATCGACTTGAATTAATTTTTGTGTATGCGTTCACAGGACAACGTCTGTCTGTTCGCTAGTTCTACAAATATCATGATATATTATAAGAGTATCCCGTCCCGTAGATACACGCGCATTGAATATTCTTTAGAATAACATTTTCAAAGTGGCGTCAGTTATATTATAATTTGAAAAAAATTGAAAGTTGTTCATTCTGCTTTGTGTAAATGTTTTTTACTCTTGTTATTTTAATATAAGCTCCCTCAATACCAATAATGTACAAGTTGAAGTACAGTTAAGTCAATACAATAGAGCAGCCTATTTGTTAACTTTTAATATTTATCAATAAAAATTCTCAGTTTCTAATTCATCAACCGTTTTTCCCCATCAGCTGTAACGGGAGGTTAGGTGAGTTATTAGTTTGTTAGTCATAATTTATTTTTAACTTGTTATAAAAAGTTTAATGCCAATTTCATAATGTTCAGGTGTTTTGTTACAATACAGAGTGCATTCTGTGTTTTTGTCTGTAATTTCATTTGAAAAACAACTTAGGTATATGATGTTTTGTTTGTTGAAAACCATAATGAGACCGTTATTTTTAATTGACACGGCAAAAAAAACTTCAGAATATTTTAAAACCAACATTGTATGGTGACGATATGGTGTGAAAATTTAAAACAGTGGTCATTTCTATTGAATAACATTTTCTAGTGATTATATTTATAACTTTTCAGCGTCTCATTTTGTCAACATCATTACAAATACTGGTGGTATTATTACTGATGGTAGACCTAACTAACGGCTGGGTATTATTTCTGCTTCGAAGCAGTCTTGTGTTTCACTTTGAAGAGTTAGTATAGCCATTATACAATGCAGTTGAGATTTCAACTTTACGGCGGTGTAGGTATTCAAGTGATGATGAGTGATTCCGTATCACTGACATGAGGGGGCTGTGAGGTCTTTGAGACATCTAGCGAAAAAATATATTAAAACCACTAAAACCAATGTCTCAAATACAACTACATAAAAAAATATGCACATTCTAAGGTGATTACCATATATTACGATTACTATTTAAATTAGAATACATGCCGACAACCTTGTTTTGTTTACCCATTACCACACAAAATGTTGTCAAAAGTTGGACACCTGACACCAATCACAGACCACAATAGATATAAAAGAGTGCTTTCCTTAAAACTATATCTAATTGTTGTTTTTCTACACAATTTGTGACCCAATTGACTGACTTACATAATAATCTTGAAAAATAAAAACTCTTAAATGTAATATAATTCTTTGGATTGTAATTTTTGAGGTATCTTTAGTCGATCAGGTCGCAGACTCAACACCGATATTGTAACAAATCCACCGTCAACCACATAACGTCCCGTCTAGCTAGTGCGACTGACCGTGACGTGAGAGTCCCTTGGGAGGGAGAGGCTGAAGGGCTGCGTGCCAAGACGGTACGTGGAGGGGGCGTCCGGAACAGGCTCTGGAGGACCACCCTCGGAGCTGCTCTCGCCCAGGTCCTGCTGAGGAGTCCAAGTAGGGGCAGCTTCTGTGTTCTATGTAACAAACCAATACACAATCTCAAGTATTTTTGTATGATTTCAATTTAAGTTCTGACGTAATATTTTTTAAATGAATTTTATGAATAAGTTTTTATAAAGTGATATTTCGTGATTGCGTATCTCCTGTGCTTTGAAGTTCTATGAGAAGTATTCTATAAAATTATTTTAGGATATCTTAGCATCTCCTTTTGATAACAGTAACCCTCACCATTGGAACAGAGGCACAAAGATTTAAGTACTGCACTACTCTGAAAAAAGCTCCCGTAGGTATTTGCGGAACTCTGTGACCTGTCGCTGTAAAATAGATATCACCTATTAATAAAAAAACTGCTTATATTCAAGTGAGACTCCCGCGTTTGCTTTGGTATTAATCAAAATATATCTTCATCACTTACATGATGTCTAGGCGGGGAATCCATTCTTCTATCCATATGTCCGTGGTCACCAGATATCCCAGAATCACCGGATTTATCCCCGGAGGGCTCAGACCGGGGGGAGGACTCCGCAGACACGTCCCCGGACATTTTCGTCTCAATCGCCAGAGACACCGGTTGAGATTCTGAAACAATGTGTGAAGCAATTTATTTAATGTGGACGTCGGGATTATATGATGCGTCAGCTTCCACATGTTGGGGCTGCAGCTCCCGATCATCATAGTAATAATTTTTTTCTGCCACACAATCACATAGCTTGAGGGGTAGGATATATTAACCGACTCTAATGCAGTTAAAGCTACCACCCCGTCCTTTAAGGCCAAGAAAACAATTCGTGCTGCCAATTAAACCTGATCCACTTTTGAACGGAATCGTGTAGGTTGTTATATTTTGCGGTTTGTTTGATTTAAAATATGCTGATTAATGATGCTGAGATATCCTAATATCTTGTCCTTTGGGTTCCGCAGAACCTATATCGATGCTGTAACTAATATTAATTTATTCTTTACGAGCACTACTCCGGCTTATCTTGGTAACATTAGGCCTTGGATTAGCCAGAATATAACTTGTTGTTAGTGAATTCAGAACACAAAGTGAAGGTACGAATATGAAGCCATAGTAAGCGTGCACGATCATCTTATGACCAATCTTCTTTTTCTCCACCTTATCCCACTATGTGGGGTCGGCACAGCTAATTTTTCTCTTCCATTCTCTTCTATCAGCCGTCATCTCAACACTCACTCCTCTCTCTCTCATATCGTCATTCACACACTCCATCCATGTCTTCTTCGGTCGACCTCTTCCCCCTCTACCTTGCACTACCATTTCCATACATCTCCTAGTCNCCATGTCTTCTTCGGTCGACCTCTTCCCCCTCTACCTTGCACTACCATTTCCATACATCTCCTAGTCACATGCATCTTCTCTCTACGCATCACATGTCCATACCACGCTAACCGTCTGCTCCTTAATTTGTCCATCTTATGACCAATGACCAATTCAAAAGTTGGTCCACATTTAAAAAACAACGCACCGGCGGCAAAATGAGTGTCCAAACTGGCTAGTTGTTTCCAGGCAGCGGCAGGCGAGAACCTGGGCATCGTCGGCTGTTTCTTTGGTAGCGTTGGGCGCAGTCTTACCGCGATACCTAATGACCCATCTGACCCGTCACCTTCAGAGCCGTCGGAGGATAATGCTGATTCTGATGATACTGTGAAAATAGTAATACTTAATTATAAACTGATGGAAGAAGGTATTGTAAGATAAGTCAGGTAGATGCCGCCATTTTGCATATTTTTACCGTCAACAAGAACTGACTGTCCTTACACAAACACAATTGAGATGTCGACCTTACGTCTTAAGATGGGTGTCGGCATTGACGCCATAATGTCTATGGGTTCCGAAACCCAATTTACAACAGGTAACCCATAAACCTCTTTCACTCATATACGGAATTATAAAAATAAATAAACTCGTTGCTTTGTTGATCTCGAGTTTGATCACTAATTATAAGTTCACAATAAAAACAGTGAAAACAGAAAACATGGAACTTGTCCATTATGACCGATGTCGTGTTTATTCAAAATAAAAATAAAGCTCGGTAAGGAATTTGGTGAATTAAAGTAATAATGTAAATTCGACCGTAAAATTCAAGATAAACATTCAAATGTTTCGATGTGAATGAAAATGCTCTATCACTTTCTTAGAACGGAAGCTAAATCCAATTTGTATCGCACTCTTGAATGTTGGAATTGTTGTACAAAACAACACTCTGTATTTCTAAAAAAATTAAAACACTTATCAATACCTTATTTCTGAACACATTTAAGTTTTTCTCTTCGTTAATTGCAATAATTTAAGCTTAAGATTGTTCAAAGCACCAAAAATGAGTAAACGATCTAATTGGCTAGCTTCAGAGACAGATAGGGAATATGAGACGCACTTTATTATGAAATTCTAGCTTATTTTATTTATTATAACTCACAATTTTTTATAATTTTACGATCATCCTTTAACTGGGATTTGAACTTGTCTATTTCGGCGTCTTCATCGCGATAGTTAAACAGCTTCTGTTCGATGAGGTGGAAGTCTGCAAACTCTTCGATTATCGGGCTACCCAGCCCTGGGAAGTCTTTTAGGTTGTCTTTTTTTTCCGTCTTCTTGTTCTCAATCATTCCGAAGTAGAACTGCTTTGATGGCGCGTGTGGCTTGTCTCTGGAATATCATTAGTTGCAGAGACGATTAAAAAACTTTTAGAATACATTACAATACTTGACGTAAAGAAGATTAAACTAACTTCAACCCATTGAATATAGTCCCATCCTATAGGGCGCTACAATGAACGATTCGCCTACCGTTTTCAATTCCTATCGACCGATTGCGAAAAGATCTGGTAGTGTAAGATAAAGCAGTTAGTATATTTATATTAGTAAATTCATCTTATAAGATAGATTTGATTGAGCAGTTTTGGGAATGCTCCTTTTTATGAACTAATAGTAAAGTAAAGCTACAATACTATTATTGTATACGCAGATGCAAGACAAAATACTATCTTCATGCTTAATGCGACATAATGATCTATAATATCATGAATTACTTACTTTTCAGATTTATTTTGATTAGCTGCATCAGTCTTTCGTGTCGGAGAATGCTCTGGGGTCGACTCTTTTCCCGAAGCTTGTCCTCTATCAGGAAGGCCTTTGCCATTAAATTTACCGACACCAATATTGTTACTGTTCACTTTGGGTTTAATCTCATTTCTGGTCAGAGGTCTTCTACTTATTTTCGAATCTATATTTTTGTTATTAAGACTAGATTCTTTGACTTTGTTAGATGGTAGTTCTTTCTGTTTGTTGACCGATTTCTCAATATGACTAGCTTTAATATCGTTATTATTTCTATTGCTTATGTCGTTCCTAATTCTACTGGTTGCTTTTTTAAGTTCAGCTTGAAATTCATCTTTTTCTTCATTATTTTTTACTAATAGTGAAGGAAGAGATTTTCTCAGTGGTTGGTTTCTTTGTGACAGTGGACTCAATTGACTTTTGAGTTGTTCCCCGATAGCTTTCATTCTCATTTCGTGCAAAGCTTTAGGTGATTCGTTATCTGTTTCGTTCGTTAGGATGGTTTCATCAAAAGTCTTTTCTCTTCTAAGAACTGGTACATCATTTTCATCTTTTGTAAACCTTTCTGAGTGTCGAAAGTTCCTGCTTAAGAGCGGAGTTTTCCAGGCTTCGTTGTGATCATTGGTCTTGGATGTCTTCGCTCTGCATCCACTCACCCTATCTATTCTGGGTTTCTTGTAATCTTGTCTAATTTGGAGTAATCGTTCTTCTCTCTTCAGAGAAGCAGAGCTCTGGAGCATATCCCTATTGTCAGGATATTTGAAGTGAGGCTCTTTGTCTTTATGGGGTGACTTGTATCGTCTTTCAAATTGGTTGTCACTCAAGTCTAATGACTTGTATTCGTTGATTCTATAATTTAGGTTACTATCTAGGCCGTTAAGCTTTTTGGTTTCGCTTCTCGTTTTAAATAATCTTAATTTTCTTTGAGGTTCCGCTCTCACGTTTACGTCACTCGAGTCCGGTGAAGAACCTTCGAAATGCTATAAATTGAATAATTCGTTTTAGATTCTTGAATCACAAATGACACGAAAAGTAATTAGCAAACTTAAAATTGATTAGAAACAACCTAACGTAATAGAATTCTTAAGTAACTTGATATAAGTCACTGATCACTGTTACAAACAGTAAAATACAAGTAGAGCTAGTACCTACAGGTTGTTACAGTTTATGAACGACTGATTGAAATTAAAATTTGTTCTTTTTAAACCTTCGATTACTTGGATGCTGCACTTTATTTCTAGTGTAGTAATTAATTACTGATGATCTAAATAAAACTCAATAGAATTCGCAATCCCTGGTTTTTTGTGCTAACTCAGTTTAAATCTTGTATATAATCTCACAGATACTGTACCATTCACTGATAAAACCACAACTTATTGCCGCTACAGGTAAAAAGTAGTGGTGGTAAATTTTATCTAATAGTAATGAGACTTACATCAGTGTTAGGAGGTGGGGGTGCTCGGTATTTCTTTTTGAAATGTTTATTGTTGTTGTTCTTTGATTTTTGTTGCTCTTCCTCTATTCGGAGATCAGGTTCTGATCCGAATCTTTTGTTTAGACTTGTACCTGAAATATTTCATATGACTTTCATCCAACGTCAGTCAGTAAGAGTACCAAGCAATTTATTTGATTATTTATCGTGAAAACTAATTGATTTTGCATAAAATACAATTTTTAGTAAAAAATTATAATCAATTGAAAAGTTATTCATTTGTGATTGTGTGACGATCACTGAAATTAAAGCAAAATCTAAAATGGAGAATCGAAGAATAAACTTTATCGTCGAATCAATGAGATTTTTTAATGAGAAAAAAATGGATACCGTCATTCTGTCGTAAGTCCAAATTTGTGTGTGACCGGTGGAGTGGATCTCGTTCCCTGGATCGAAGTTCATTCCCGTCTCCACCAGTCCCAGTGGATCGAGACCGATATACACCTGTGTGCTGGAACATGCACGACATTACATACATAGGTGTGCGCATTTGTGGAAAACTTTGAATGGCGCGTTATAAACTTGAAATATCATTTTTTATTATCTTAGATGGAAATAGATAACCGGCTTTCAAACTGTAACGCTTCGCAGTGGGAACAGTTAGAGCGGTAGTAAAATCTGGTCTGGCTCATAGTGTACCACATGGTTTATTTCATACACTGTATTACTAACCTTGCTTGCGTCATGAGGATGCATCAGGGAGAGAGGTCTCCGACCGCTGATGGTTCCTCCTGAATGCAGTATAGCTCCATTGTCAGTACTTCGGAGACAAGCTAGCTGCGGAGGGGCCGGCAACACCTGCGTATTTTTAATACTTACACTACAAAAAATCTTAAAAGGAATAAAGCCATTATTAAATTTAAAGCACATAACATTTTTTGAGGTTATCCCGATTCGTGGACATGATTAAAAATAACTTAATGCGTGACCGCTTTTTTTTCTTATTTATAATTCAGTTTCCACATCAGCAGACGCATTTGTTCTGTTCCTGACATCGGGTAAATTGGCATTTACAATTTTGAATTTTGCTCTAACTTTGATAGCATGCAGTTTTGTTCCTCAATAGTAACCGTTACCTTAGGAGCATGTCTGGGCGGCTCGTGCGGGAGTGTATTGGAGCGACGCGCGTGGAGGGTCGCGTGTGGAGCGCTACCCGCCTGCCCCATGCCGCCTGTGGACTGCTATACCGTGTACTGCATCTGTAACAGAGAAAATCCATATTAACTTACTTAAAGAACAACATCAAAAAGAAAAAAAGAAAAAAATGGAGGAGACCGCCCCCGACGAAGTAAGAAGACAAGAAGGAAGAATGATGAGACGAAGGAAGAAAAAGAATCCCACCCGCCATCAACTCAGACCCAACCGACTCAATCCCGCAGCTCATCACCCCTGCTTCAATAGGCAGGGAGTCACAAGCCCGGGCAGAGGGGTTTTCCCGAGGCCCGTCCCATGCCCCTGTAAGGGGACGCGACGACGATAGTAGTAGTAATACTAGAATTTGAGACCTCGAAACTTGTGATTTGAATCGTTCTATTATTTATGGTTTGGAGATTTTTTTATTGTTCCTTGTAGGCAGATGACCATACTGGCCAACTGGTGGTAAGTGGTTACCGTCGCTAAAGGACGTCAAGCAATGCCAGAACCGATCTTCTGAATATCCTGAGTACCCTCCACAAGCCACGTTTGAATGAAGACAAGTAATAACGCTCTGGAAACACCGAGGAGCGGAGTTCATTCTAAAGCTGGATGGAACGTTGCAGAAATGATCTCTGAAAACGCACTGTGGTGGAACGTAGTGGTTCTAGGTAGTGTGGATGAACTCTGCTGCGGTAACGGGCGAGGTGATGCTAAAAACTAGATGATGGGATAATCTCAAACAACTTTCAGGGAACTGTTTGAAATTAACCCGTTTCCTGTATCCGGCTCTCAAATAAATCCTTCCTCTTACGAGGTTTACAATATTCTTCAGTAGACTTTAGCTCGATATTGCAAACGTATTAAACAATGCCAAAAAAGCCGTTATACATCAATTTAGATTTCAATTGAGTTCTCGAGAAGCGTAGCGGTGTTCACGTTGTGATATCTATGTTCTGGCGATTAGCTTTTGTACCGGCGCAAGCCTGAACATTACGTCAGCAGCTCACTTAAACAACACTCACAAATGTTTAGCACAGTTTGTGCCAAATTCTCAAGACACATTACTCATTTATCATCTTTGATTCGCTATTCAAGAAATTTTCTAAGCTACGAATAGTGTGATATTATTTCCGATGAACTAAATATCATAACTGCACTTGAACACAACGTACGACTCACAACAAATGAAGTCATTACGACAAACCAGATCTCCGGATTATCGACAAAACCAATATTTCATAAAGTTTCTAAAATGAGAAGCATTAATCCTTAAAACCTATACGCAACGAGCGCCCATAAAAATATTCCTGCCCACAAATTCGTCTTAAAGGTAATTATTTCCAATGAGCTGAGATTAACTTTCTCCGGGTCTGGCCGCGGGCGGAACCTGGTCTATCATTTCTCACGGAATGATTAGGGATTCCGTCGTCGTGGGCGGCGGGCGGCCTTAATTTGTTCAGGCCCTACGAACAGGTCACTATAATATCTATAATTCTTATGTAAGTTTCGTAACCCGTTCAATGTTTTGGTGAAGGTATAGTGTATAGATGTTATAAAGCATTTGGACGGAATATCAGAGGAATATACTAAAATCTTTTTAAAACTTACTAAATATATATTTTTTTCAATGGTATTTGATCTGGTGGTAGGACCTCTTGTAAGTCCACACGGGTAGGTACATGCCATTTCTGCAGTGAAGCAGTAATGCGTTTCGGTTTGAAGAGTGGGGCAGCCGTTGTAACTATACTGAGACCTTATAACTTATATCTCAAGGTCGGTGTATATATATGTATGTATATCAATATCGAGAGTCGAAACACACTACATAAATACGAAAATTCATTAGCAATTTATTAGCGACAACGATTAGAAACGTGAAGAACGAAAGTAGAGGATTGAGAGGCGACAGTGAAACTGCGACCGGCCGCTTCGTACAGGATGTTATTACTGCAGCGGCACGTGAAAACTTGGAAATGAATGACGGATAAATGCTTTTCATGTCCGCTTTAATAGATTCTCAGGGTTGTCGAATTAATGGACGGTAAATTAATTAATGAACCTTAAATTTTCGTTATGAAGTCGTCGTGGCCTAAAGGATAAGACGTCCGGTGCATTCGTATCGAGCGATGCACCGGTGTTCGAATCCCGCAGGCGGGTACCAACTTTTCTAATGAAATACGTACTTAACAAATGTTCACGATTGACTTCCACGGTGAAGGAAAAACATCGTGCAATAAAAATCAAACCCGCAAAACTATAATTTCCGTAATTACTGGTGGTAGGATCTCTTGTGAGTCCGCACGGGTAGGTACCACCGCCCCGCCTATTTCTGCCGTGAAGCAGTAATGTGTTTCGGCTTGAAGGGTGGGGCAGCCGTTGTGACTATACTGAGACCTTAGAACTGTATCTCAAGGTGTGTGGCGCATTTGCGTTGTAGATGTCTATGGTCTCCAGTAACCACTTAACACCAGGTGGGCTGTGAGCTCGTCCACATATCTAAGCAATAAAAAAAATATAATAAAAAAAGTTTACGATAAAATGTATTTATACTGCATTAGCCAAGCGAAGGTTTGAAGCCGACCTAGGGTTACGTAATAACTTCTTCGGTTTTTTGTGATTTTTAGATACAATTAAAACTATTTTTACTATTTAATCTCGCTGTTCTTAAGTCGTATTTGAATCAGAGTAATGAACGCGGATGAAGTGTTTACTAGAAGAGACAGCTCAATGCGAGTACCATAACTATCTATGAAATATTAAGTCGTAGTGACCTTGACTATTTAATATTGTATTATTATATTTTTAAGTGTTTAATAGCAATAATGTGCTATAAAATAAAACAATGTTTGAGAATAAACAAAAATAAATCACTTTTAATTTAGTGAGTGTGGCAGCCCTGTACATCATATTGAAGGCAAAAGTGCACGTTGCACAGTGAATGCGGTGTGCGGGTTAGGAACCCACTTTCTTTATGGAAATCTTCGCATCCTCCTCGAAGGCCGGTTAATGAGGTGTGCAGAGAAACATAAGAGAAACATATGAAAGTGGCGTTTTAAATTATTTTAAAGGAAACAAACAACAATTATAGTTATGTTGATTTTTTTGTTCAATAACGTGAATTAATGGAATGTGAGATCGGAGTTTATAGTGGGTTGATTAGCCTAGAAACCGGTTTTTTAGGAATGCCTCTCAAAGGTAAATTTAGACAAAAAAATATACAACTAGAAAGTGTTTTAAAAACGAATACTTAATCTAATACCCAAGTGGAAAGATGCAAATAGCGAAAGATGCAAAACGGAAAGATGAAAATAGAAATGATCATTAGCCTGATAAAAGCACCTACCAACCTATGGTCCTGCTAACAGGCTAACTTACAGGAACTTGTAGTCGAGAGGAGAAGAAGAAGCGACGTAAATTGTTTACAACTATGCAATGGCTTTACGACTAGGCAATACCATTCAGGGGTCAAGAATACCTGTCCAAGGAAAGTAGGTCAATTCATTTTGGTTTTGGGCATGAAAGAAAATATGTCATACTTTAGAGATAATCACGAGAGATTCGCCTGGGACCTAGACACTCTTGTGGTCCCACCTCCCCATCCTATCAACAATTCGTTTTGGCCGTTCTGTTCCGGGCTACTCTGTAATCAAAGGGCAGATTACCGATTATGATTTACGAGAGTACACGCCACACGCTCAGACGCAGTTTATAACGATTAGTGAACGGTGTATGGGGTAATTTATGGTGTCGAGATCACGGGGCTGGCATGGAGCGGGAAACGGCGGGCTTGGGTTAACGAGATATGATTAAAAACCATCCTCATAGTTTACCTCATACGTTTTCTCGACGTTTCGTATTTCTCTTGAAGGGATTAACGTCGTGTGTCTATTGTGGATCTAGCTAGTTCCTCTATCTCATAATAACGCTAAAATAAAAAAGCGACTGATTTGTTTATGGGATCTGGTACAAGGTATATCCTAGAATTGACCGCAGTGCATCAAACAAAGCGCTGGAGAAAATTATAGAGCCATCTTGCTTTTTAGACATCCTTTACATTAATTATTGCTTTCCTTTAAGTGCTCAGGGTAAAACTATTTTCAATCTCATCTGCGACTCGTCAAAGCTTCAAGATAGGCGAAATTGAGAAGTTTTTTGAGTAAATAACATAATATAACAAGGTTTCTGTTAGGTCTACCATGATTTATCTAGATAGAGTGATGTCTGAGGATCTTAACGAGATCCATCTCTACTCTGGCCTCTACTCCTATCCCATTATGCATTGGCAGTAGACTCAATCATGTTGATATTCTATTCTTAGTTCTTATCTTACGGACCCGTTGCATACTTCATTCCGGCTCGAAGAATGAGAAAACCGTGGTACCAGTGAATCCTTCTATCTTATATAGGTTGGACAGGGCATCCAAGTGGTAGTCCTTAACTAAAATTAACCTGACAGTTGTACAATGAGCTCCTCTGTTTAACTAAGCTTATTTAAAAAGCCATTGAATATTACAAGAACATCCTGTAGCTGTGCACTGTAGAAATAAACAGCAAATACTAGGAATCGGATAATTTCAACACATAGTAATTTTCAATAAAGTAACGATTGTATCGAGATGGGTTAGCGCACGTCGCAATTATCGGCTTGCGATCAAACGGTACACGCACGAATAATCACTGTTGCCACTTACTGTTACCTTAATGCAGACGTAAGGCACGTAGATCTGGTACTTACATAACGAATTTCAATGCATTATATCGATAGAATTTTCTATACGCGGCTTTTTTTGTTTTTATTAATGTACTGTACCAAAATTGGCTACTATCTCCTAGCTATTAGCTCAATAAGGCTAATAGTAATTTTAATTTAACGTAAGATAATATTTTAACGAATGCCACTAAGAATAAAGTCCATTGACTTTACTTAGTGTCTAATAAGGCTAAACACTTTGATCATGTGTTCTTTAATTACGTCACTATCACTGTAACACTATTTCGAATTAACACTACACACTTTTTACTGGTGGTAGAACCTCTTGTGAGTCCGCTCGGGTAGGTACCA